GTATGCGCACTTGTTCAGGAATCTGCTGCTGCTTCTTTCTGTCTTCATCTACATGCCAAGGGAACTTTGTTGTGGGTGGAAGAAGCAGCTACTAACCTAAACTCTCGCCTCAAGACCTGCGCAAAGGCAGACAATTCTACTATAGCGGGCTACAGCAACACATCAACGTCAAAAGCAATCTAAGACTTATCTCAGAAGCCATTGATTAAGAGGACAAATAGCAGTTGAAGGTTGCTGAAAAGTTGGCGGAAAATCCAGCTACAGGTGAGTAAGTCAGCGTCGCATGTGTCTCTTCTGCCGGCAGTCTCAAGGTCTCTACCCTCCCTCCGATTTCCTGTCCGTCTTTGCTCACCACCCTCATTTTGTTCCAGCCGTCTACATCCCACCGTACAAGCACCCGATACAAGGAAAAGTACATGAGGTTTCTGCCCCGTTCGCCCACTCGAAAGGACTGACAGCACGTAAGCTCCAGGTCTTTAAAGCAAAGTACGACCAGATCATCACCGCATGTCTTTCACAGATCCTCCTCTGCCATTTTCCATTGCTCACACTCTTTCAGGCGCATACAGAGTATGAATGCGCCCTTGCTCGCGCAGATGACAAGCTCAGGCGGCTCTAAGTAGAATGCAAGTACGTCCCATTGTCTTTGCTCTCTCTGTCATCCCTAACCATTCATCAAGGCACATATTCCCGCAGCCTCCTTCTCGACCCGGTTGACATCGCTATCCCGGCCCGGCCATCCCTCGTCCACTACCTCCGGCGTCGCAGCCACCGTTCTCGCAAGAGGCCCTGCACTCGCTATTGGCTCACCCGCGACTGCGCAGGATGGAAAGTATCAGGCTTTGATTACTGGAGGATACGCGCGAGGTTGAGAGGCATATAGTCGACAGGTTGCTCGCCGGGGGTATGTACATCAATGCTATCTGAGACGCCAGCATGGTCTCATGAACTTCCAGCGATAACTCTCCCTCTCTCCAAGTTTGCATCTGTGCACGTTTCGTTGCCCACGCCTGAGTACAAAAACTTCGTGCCAAGGATACCCGACCTCCTTCTGCACCTGCTAAAGGGCCTCAAGCCGCTAGGCACGCTCCACCTCCTCGATTTCGGCGCCTCCTAACTCTTCCTTCTAACCTCACCCCCGCCGGCTTCACCGTGCTCAGTACAACGCAGCCTTCATTGTGCAAAAGCCCACACACACCACAGAGACATCTACCTTCCTCAGAACCGCTCCTGTTGCCGCACTCTCCCTACGGCGGAAGGTAGACCCGGAGAAGGTGTCGAAGAAGGTCCCAGCAGTGTACGAGCCCGCAGCCCACGGTGCGTCACAGCGGAAGGTGCCCAAAGACTGCGCGTGCAGACTTGCGGAGCTGGAGTTTGCACACAACAAGGTCGTGCTGCCCGACGGTAAGGTCGACGGACAGGCCATCGAGGTGTCGCAGGCTGAGAAGAAGCGTCTCCTGGTTGCCGCCGCCGCTGCGTCCAGGGCGACGAGCAGCTGTGGAAACTGCTACTTGGGAGACACATTCCGGTGGTTGAGTTGCCTCATATAGATGAAGACGAGTTTGAGCTTGCTCGTATACGCTTTATCGCTATGTAGTGTATATAACGTAGCCTCGAACAAAATTTGTGCCCATGCACCAGGTCAATACCGTCTCATCAAGAAGCTGATCCCTTCTAATGACGTCCCATAGGTTGAACAGGACTTGAATAAATGTTACTATCCTTACTGGACACGGGGACTATTGAACGTTGTGCGAGCACGCGCCGTCATGCAATAACAAGCTACTAGTGCACCGTCATGCAAACTTCTGGCAAGTCTTGCCCGATATTGTAGACATTGCGAGGCAGGGCCCCTCTTGCCCCCATATTGGGTGCTCGTGCCATCTCGCGCATGAACCAGCGCTTCAGGCAATACCTGCGATCCTCAGGGCGATTTTCGCACTTTTGCTGATGCCAGTATCTGTTGCCACCAGTAACAATAGACACACAGCGCTTCTCGCTTACGATTGGATTCTTTGCTTGGAGCAAGAAATCTCTCTCGTCTGGAGAAACAAGAATGGCTTCACTTGGGCATCTCCAGTTTATGTCCTCAATCGTTACTGTCTGCTCGTAATGCATGCTCTATCAGTCATGACTATCTTCCGGATGACAACGCCAGTGAGTGGTAAGGTGGTCTTATCGGTGTCGAATAAATGCTAACGCCTTTCCTCAGAGGTGCCATACCCCATATACATCTAGCCGCCGGGCCGAGTATTGATCAACGCAACCCCCTTAACACAGTTGTAACGTAGTCGCGTGGTGCATGAACATTGCGTACATTCTTAGCCAGCTCGCTCCCTGCAGTGAATCACAAGTTTTTGCTGCGCTACTACCTATATCTCATGCTATGCTCCCCAAGGTTTCTCTACCATGCGAGTACTCGCACTATCGAGAATGAACAGGGTCCTTGCGGTGGTCACATTTGCGATCTCAATCATGCCTGCAATCGTGTACCTGGTCTGTCTCTCTTCAGTGCTATCTTCACGGGCATGAAACGCTAACACATCTAGGAACCAGACCTTTAATGTCAAGTGGGTTCAACCACATCAGCAAAATGTCATGGTCTTGAATCTGAACTTGGGCCAAGACCACAGTCTTAGAGCCAAGACCACGGTCTTAGAGCCAAGACCACGGTCTTAGAGCCAAGACCACGGTCTTAGAGCCAAGACCATGGTCTTAGCCTCAAGTCTGCAGTCTTGGTGGTCTTGAGGTCAAGACCATGAACTTGGAGCCAAGACCGTGAACTTGGAGCCAAGACCGTGAACTTGGAGCCAAGACCATGGACTTGGCTCTAAGACCGCGGTCTTAGAGTGAAGACTATTGTCTTTAAGTGCTTAAGCAACTTAGAGTTAAGGGTCAACTTGTCTAAATCAATATAAGAGTATCTAGATCATATAAGGATATGGTCTAGTAATGATCTTATAAACTGCATAATTGTGTATATGTTCAAGATAAGAATGGTCATGAGACCTACTATAGTGTTCAATGCTTAAAGACCATGTTACTTCCATTATAGCACTACAATATTAGAATGACAACCCTACATATGCTATTGCAGGGTACAGTAGTGATCAATAGAAGTCTAGTGGCCCTTAACTT